TACTGGAGGATTTCTCCGGCTCACGAGTATTCAAATCAAATCAACATGCTACCCAACTTAAAAGAGGGAAGTGTTAGGATGGTAGCCTAACCAAAGGCTAGCAACCTTGTCAGCTCTCCTAAGGCGTCGAGGCTGCCGCTGACTACCACAATGATTCCTTTGGAATAGCGAGGCAACAGCCACTCGAGACAGCTCCTCCGGATTTTGTACACAATAAACCCTCCTCCGGGTGGATTCCGGAATTATGCCTTTCTTATTTTTTTCTTCCTTGGGGATTTCAACAGGGCGTAATTCGACTATGACACACGTCGTTATAACAATAGCGACGCTGAACCCGTCGTTATAACACATTCAACCCAAGTAACATAAGTGAAGAGGAAGAGAAGGAAGGTCCTCCTGTTAGGCGCCCCGTACGACCAGAAACAACACGTTACATAGCCTTATCCGCACAGATAAGAAAACGAACAAGACCAATACTCATCCATGAAAAGGAAACCAACGATGGATGAAAAAAATAAGAATCGACACTTCCCTTAAGGGGGCCAAAATTATGAGCGTATCACAGAACGTAAAAAGGGGACACCACCCACCTACACAGCCTTGCGTGGCAATACTGCAGACCCAGACCAGTTAAGTCTCGCTGATCTGCGACTGAGTGGCTATCAGGCCTGCAGGCAAGCTCCTCATTCTTCACTTTGAGACTCGTCCTAACGGGCAGGAGACGCGGTTTGGCGAGCATTTCAGCCACCAACCAAGTTACGCCCATCTGGTCGGCGACTCGACGAGCCTCCTCGCTGACCTCCTCAAAGCGGCAGAACGGCAGGCTGGGGGAGGGACCAGCCCCTTCTTCGTCCACCTTCTCGTAGAGCAGAGTTCGCGTATCTGATGGAATAGTTTTTTTTCCCGGGGGAGGGGGAAGAGAAGCATATAGTGAAAAGGAGGAAGTAGCGTCAACAACTTATATGAAAACATGTTATACAGGGAAGAGGAGGATGAAGGTAGCTGAAGAGCGGGACAGGAGGGGGTGGGCAAACCTACGCGGCGATCTTTGCATTCGCGCAAAGGCTTCTCGCTGGGCAACGTCAAGGACATCAGAAAGGAAGAGACCACTGCCGTGCCTCGTACTGGCTCCAATGACGCGAGCGAAGCGAACGTGTAGGGGCCAGGGAGAACTCTCTCTGTCCATGCACAGAAAAGGCAGAACGGTTGGGTTGGGCAGCGAAATTTAGAGGAGAGGCAACCAAACGGGCTAGGCAATCATTATTATTACCAATTGTGTGACCAACCGAAACTAGCATGCAACGGGCAGGCTGAATATTACCTTTACTGCAATCCCCCTCAAGAATAATAAAAACGTTTTGCACGAATCAAGATGGATTCTGGATTTAAAAGCGTGAAAATAGATCAGCTGTCAACATTAATCACACAGAATTTCCTCTCTAGACAGAAAAAGAACCAGAGCAATAAGGCATACTCTAGATAATAACGCTAACTATCGAGATACCCCGCAGTTGCTCTTCTTTACAAAGATACTGACAGGAGGGAGGCTCTAGTATTTACCTAACATCACGAAACCCCTTGGAAATTCATCAACCTGAAGAGTGAAAGTATTCACAAACGTCTCCAAGGGCAAGTTGCATTACGCATTCACCGATTAATGTGTGTGTTCAGTGTCACCATGAAAACTTACATTGAGCGGAACCTAAACTACCTGACATCCGGATGCGAAAAATGTGGACGGACTCTCAACACGAATATAGAGCTGTAAGCATGCACCTAGCACCATCAATTACCGTGTGACCATAATTCGTACAACAGGCTGAGACAGACGAGGTATTGAAGGAACGGCTATGTTGTTGTTGGAATTTTGGACTAGAACCCCTTCCAAAAAACTGCGACAATGGCGACAAAAAGAGAAACCTCTGTGACTTCATTCAAATGTTTAAAGGGAGACCAAAGGACTCGCCAAGAATCAATAGCCAGGTCGAAATACCCTCAAAGCCAGAGTAGTAATCGTGGAAGAAACGAGGAATCCCACCAGGAACAGTAGGATGAGGGATGATAAAAACAATGCAAGGTCTAGCAGACTATGCTATTAACTGGCACTTGAGGCTATACATTATCATAAGGACACCGCCTGCAGCGGCTAAACGAACACACAGAAAGAAAGTCTCAATCCCTACGGCGGTAAAAAAAAAAAGCATGCAAATGAGATAAGGTCTAAGTCTGATCTTACGGCTCCGCCCAAGCATAACCCAACCGCCAGAGGAGATTTTGTAGATTGAGGAAATGTTCTCTCTGACCATCTTCGACCTAGAAGAGAAAGAGTGGTGACCAGTAATTTATGCATTTTTATATTCTTTCAAAAAGACCTCAATGACTGAAAAAAAAGAAGCAGGGGGGATAACAGAATACTGCAAGTTGTCAAATCTGAGAGGGAAAAACAGCGCTCACCACGTAGTGCATCCTGTCAAACTTGAGGTCGTCGGAACGAGAGATGGCTGCTGCGAGGTCCCTGCAATACCAAAATAACAGCTGTATCGCAGAGGGAACGCAAATTTGCCGAAACGCGAGGCAAACAAGTGATTCAAAATACCTGGTTAGATAGAGGGTACCGCCGTTGCTCTTGAGGAGATTGATTCGCTTGCCCGCTTCGTGTGAAGCGGCTGTTACGCGTCCATCGCTGAAGAGTGAGAGAGGAAGACGATGCAAAGCATAATGCATGCGCAAATGAAATCTCAGACAGTTTTTTGGGCGCTTTCAAAAGAATAAAATTACCTCTCCTTCTTGGCTAAACGGGAGGCAATAAGCCTATCCACGACGCCCACCGCGCTTTTAACAAACTGCGACTCAAGTTCGTACTTATCGAAGCGAATATTCATACGCTGAAACGGAAAAATGCGGAAGTGTGCTGCTTCGGTGAAAATTCCCACTGACTTCATTGAAAAAAAAATCGGTAGACGACAAGATGCATCCTTGCCAACTTCCGGTAAGAAAGTAGTTGTCGATATTTAAAAATCCAAATAAGGGGAATGCGCCCAGTTTTTTTTTCATTTCGCGAGCAGTAAGGACAATGAGTGCTTAGGGAAAGAACGTATAGACGGAGAGGGAAAGAGAGTGAAAAATATGCTGATGATGATGATGAGGAGGAGGAGGAAGAAGAGGATGAGGGCGGGAATGAGGATGCTGTTGTTGATGATCGCGGTGGTGGTTGTTGTTGTTGTTGCAGAATCAATTGCAAGGTAAGTGGCTTTAGAACCACGACTTCCGGATCTTCTTCAG